TTTTGGCAACCTCTATAATGCGCGATCGTCATTCTCAATTTCTAAGCCATATCGTCGATCGTCGTTTCCCCGTAACAGTATGATCTTGCTTCAAATTTATAATGGTTTCCATTTCCTAGTTATTGCTATCATTTGATAGTAATGATTTACAGTATTTTATAATTTGATGATATTTATTCTTTTTTTGTTACCTTAACCTGTTGTAATTCATGTCGGAATATAAATATGTGATCTTTTTTTTTGCTATAATTAAGCAAATTGACTTACCTTTATCTATTTATTGTTTAAATACACATTTTGCTTATGGGTTAGAAACAAGTTATTGTTATGTAACTTAATTTCTTATCTTTTTAATGGTTTGATTACAGTTGTTATTTTTCTTGTTATAGGGTAAACTAATTTAATGATTTATAAAATAAACTTCAAGAGTTTGTTAAAATCCAATCCTCAAACCTAATAAAATCAATTTAATCGAACATAATGCTCTAAAATAGTATATAAAAAATTTATCGGATTGCATGTGTAGAATCATCAATAGTGTAACGGTCGATCGGCGAGTCTGTTGCTAAAGTAAGGCAGATTGTCGCGTAACCGTTGATGGGTAAGGAATTTAATGAGTTTTTCGGCGTGTTCGATTTGGCTGAGCAAAAGATAATTCACTGTCCTTTATTTACTTTTGCTTACATCTTTTTATATATTTTAGTTGGGACGAATTTACATTCTAAAAATATATCAACATCGATTATCTAATGTCTTCTCATTTTTCCTTATTGCATAACATTAATTTATATTACTTAATCGTTTTCACGACCATCCCCTCATTACCTAACTTCCTAACACGCTTCTCTACTAATATTTTATCTACTTTCCATCACTTTTCACTTACATACTTTTTGTCATACTACCTCAAGTACCACGATAGGCACGGGTCCTTCGCGGCACCATCGTGGCGATTAGTCACGTGACAGAAATCGCGTCACCATTTTAACCTCTGACAATAGAATAGCAATATAATTGAATATGAGAAGTGGCTTGTCACATTTCCTATTGTTTCTGATTAGAGCGAGAATTAGATTGTCTTTCTTACGATTTTGGAAATAATATGTATTGTGTTTAGTCATTTTCTATGGTTGTCGACCATTGATTCCAAATCAGAATACTATTTGGCGCCTGTATACATGAACTTTGGAGTACATGACGAACACCTTCAGAAGTTATTTAATGGCCTCCAAGGTATAAAATAGTATAAGAAATTCGCATATTCGTATAACTAAACTTTATCACTATGACAGATTTTCAAATTTTTGGTAGGAAATTGTCCGTTTATTTTTTTGTATCTACTAATTTTTTTTAATGTGCATAATATATAAAGACATACTGTAATAAATTTAAAAAACAAATTTACTCATTTTTTAGAAAATACACAAGAGATTGTAAATTTGGAGAATTCTGAGTATTCTACCAAAGGGACAGCCAATACAAGTGAACAGGTTTTGGAAATTTCCGAGCAATCGACTTCATCCCAAGTTTTTTATGGGTCAAGTCCTTTGGACAGCGATGATACACTAGCAAATTCTAAGGAACCCAATATCAGTGAATTTAGATTTCAAGAATCGCCAGAAACCAACATTTCGTTAGAGACGGGGATTACTGAATCTTCATATAACTTAAATGAAAGATCTCAGGATGGTCATTTTAATCTCTCTACTCCGATCGAAAGCGATTTGTATCATCGTATTCCTAATTTATATCGATTGCTTGACTTGAGCAATGATGAAGGATCAAATGGTCTTGGTATGTTGATTATTACCAAAATGAAATTTAAAATGAATTTTTAATAATAAATTACGATTTATCCTTCTAGTTGATAAAATCATCATTTCCAAAGAATCATTAAAGGAATTTTGCAATAAAATGGTCCCATCCAGTTTCAAATCAATCTCGGATATAAATTATTCGGCCCTGGATTCTGTTCCAGTTAACTTGGTTGGTTGCTATGGAAATCATGTATTGATTGCAAAGCTCTTGTATAAAGAACATATCATCGATGAGAAAATGTAGGTTGATTTATAATCATAGTAGAATGTTCTTACAGAAGACTCACGAATAAATTACTAAATTTGCATCTTATAATAATATATCATGATAATTACTTTAGATATAATTTGCTCGTGAATTCTCATTATTTAGAGTCACCTACAAAAAATGAAAACAGACCCTCTTTAAGTCCTGGAATTTATTTGCTCATGATGCCATCATCAAACTTAGGCTTGGTTATTCACTGGCATGAATCCGGGTGTTATGAAGAAAACATTTCATTTCAAAAAAAGAGAAGCATGATAAATTTGCACAGGTAAATCATCTTTATACGCATTAACGTTAAGGATGAGAAGTTGACAATGTAGTTTATTCATCTTATGCATAGATATCTTACTAAACTCACGGATCATCAGCTCTGCCTAATGAGTGAATCCGATTTGGAATGTTTTATTTGGAATTCGGAAAACGAAGAGGTTTCTTCTTATGAAGATCTCCATCACTGTGAATATGAAGTGAAAATGAGTCAAGACGAAAAAGAAGATTTTGAAATCTTACCAGGATTTATGGTATCGTATTGCATGTTCATGTCGTTCAAGAGTGCATTAAGGAGAATTTGTATATCAGAAAGTAATGTGTTTTTGGTTTTTTGCAATTTAGATTCATTTGCCCCAGCAAATCATTTCAGAAATTCAGGATGGATATCCACTACAAGGTAATAATTATTTGTGATCTTTCGAAAGCTATTTATTAATCTAATCAAGAATTTGTAGTAATCGAATCGGTAACCGGCCAGGCATTAGTCACTCAAAAGAAAATTACTGCCGTATCAAAAATGATTCCACGTACTCATTTTATAAAAAGCAAGGAAGAATTCAAAAATATGCTTAATGGGAATGCATTGCGTATCGAAAAAAATATGGGCATCGAAAATTTAAAGATTTTAATTAATAATGGGTTGGCTGAAATTAAAGAAGAGCTTCTTGGTCCTTATCTCAGTGCATTAAAAGATGCAGAATTACTGTTCAACAAAAAGAAAACGCAAGTAAAAAGTTCCATAACAGAAGACGCTAAAATCTTTACAAATCATGCTTGGATAAAATTGAAACAAGAATACAAGTACAGTATAACACCAATAGTTATATAGAAAAATTGCAATGAAACTGAATATCATATATTTATTATTTAAATAGAGATTTTGAACTATTGATTAATCAAGAATCGACAGAAAATCTTACCCCGCAACAAGTTAGTCAATCCGGTGAGTTAATTTATTATTAACTTCAATCTATTTTCTCTAAATTTTAATAAATTAGATTATTGCATAGATCTCGAGCGTATCAAATCAAAATATCCTGATAAATTTGCTCAAATCGAAAATGCCTTGAAAATAAATACGAAAAAATGGATTATATTAAGAAAGCGATACGTCTTATTAAACTGTGCTATACAAGATGCAGATCAAGGTGAAGATACACAGTTGTCAAGTCAAGATATTAAGCAATCAATGGGCTTAAAAATGGTCGAAATTCTCATGGACGAAGAGCAGGATGAAGATAAATTCGTAAGGAAACATTTTGGGGATTCAGATCAAGAAAAAACAGAAGGCAATAAAGTTTATTATATGCCAATATCGTTTGTATGGACCAAACTAAAAGACTGGATTCGACTCCTTCAACCCGAAGCAAGTTACGAAGGAAAATCCGATAGAGATTTCATTCAAGAAATCCTTTCCATAGACGAGAATATTTACCGGGAGAAAAAAAAAATTATCGATATTTTTTTGCAAGAATATATAATATGGAAGACAGAAGCCTTTAAGAAAACTATTAGTAAATTTGCTCCTAAATACAGTGCCGATAGGGGAGCAATCAGCAAGAAATTGGAAGCAGAGTATTCGAGCACAAAAAATAAAATTGAACAAGAAGAATTTAATAGAATTTGCAATGAAATAGAAAGCAAGTTTTCTGAAGGGTAAACAAATTATCTTACTTATTATTGTGCTCTTGCTATTTTGCGTATTATTTTTGACTCGATTTATTCTATTACAGGCCTATTTTAAAAATAAATCGTTTGTCGTTACAACATGGTATCGTAGTCCTTATTTCGTATGCATGCACATTTAGAATAATAAATATAATACAGTATCTGAGATCCATTTAATCCGCTTTCATATAATATTACACAAAAGAACTCTGGATTTCGTATGAAAAACAAACCAAACAACCTGATCAACTCAAAATCACGATTTACCAAACATTAATTGATGAGGAGGATAACTTTTTACTTTCTGAAAAGGAGTTTCATGTTCCCACACCTAAATTCAACAATAAAAATGTAAATTCTTTCCAAATTAATCCCCAAATTCATGAAATCAGGTAAATCTGTGAGCACAATTTTCTGTACAGTACTTCAAAAATAATTCCGGTCACCTTTTGTCTTTATATTACAATATATAGAAATCTATCACAATTTCAAAATAAAATTTTTCTCGCATTATGGAACAACGAACAAAATAGACTGGAGATATATTTTGACTTTGCGCCACGTCTATCACTAGCTGTTCAATCTAATCCACCCAAAATATTCAAAATATTACATCCCGATAAAAACACCCTCGTTTCAGTGAATGAGCATAAAGGTTTGATTGGTTTCTATAACGTTGATTCCGTAGTTGTAAGTCATTGATATATGAGTTATAATCACTTCAGCTTCAGTATCTCGTATGCTATAACTTCTAATACCAACCTTACCTTTTAGCTAAACGTTTATATATTTGATGAGAAATTTAGTACTCTTTACCCGCACGCAACGAATATTCAATTGGTTCAATGGTATAATAATATGGTTCCGGAAATTCAACAATTTTTCTTTATCAAAGATACCGAAGATATATGTTTCATTGAGAAGAATGGTCGCTCCAGAATTTATATGATAGTCTCAAGTCAATTCCGATCTAGTTCGTTGCAATTACCGCCAAATTTCTCCAAAGTCCTAAGTACACCTGATGGAACATGTATTGTAGCTTTTACCAAAGATACCGTGTCAGAACAGAAAGAAGAAATCAACGATGCAGATGAAGTGAACAATTGCATCGAAGAAACCGACAGTTCAAATGGGTCCTTGGATCAAAATAATTGTGTTCCAGAAAAACAAGTAGAAATGATTCGAGCGCACGTATTTTTCTGTTCAAGTTTCGGTAATTCCTCTAGCAAAAGTAAGTAAAATTACTATAGACGTATATTATACTGTATTTTTACTTGATATTAAAATTGATCGATTATTTACTGTATTTATAGTCATAAATATGCCAAGTAATATGAAATCCATTGAACATTTTCAATTTTCCTTTATTAAGAGACGACAAATACATCTTATTGCCCTAGACGTAACCAATAGACTGTTTTGCTCACGGATCATCAGAATTACTCTTGAGAAAACCCAGTACAAGTTTCAACCAAAGTTTAATAGAGAATCAGTCGAAAGAGTAAAAATTTTAGCCCCCTCCGACCAAATTGATGATTATTCTTTTTTGGAAGGAAAGGATACACAATTCAATAAGGACACTTCTGTCGGTGAAAATATTGTGATTTTGGGTGAAAAAAGACGAATTCTTGAAATACAATCGAACACGAGATTAAAGATTGCGGGGAAATTTTCAAATGTCCTTGATCATAATTGTTGGATGGGATTTCATATAGAACCAAAAACAAGACTTAATAATTTTCTCAACGTTTATCAATATACGTTTAAAAAATATCCGATTGACAATTGTATAGATCCTGAACAAAATAGGTCTCTGAACTTAAATATAGTTCTGGATTTGTCTAGTCGTGAGGTTGAAGGTTACGAAGAAAAATTTAGAGATTATGTTGATAACATGTTCGAAGAATTGAAACGTTCTACAAAAAAACCGGCAAAAAGTTTGAAAAAATTTAAAATTGGTAATTTATTATACTGTATATACTGTAAATAACAAGGCATCATCTTTAAGGAGTGCAATAACAACAAAACTTTATTTTATTAGATGTAATGTCCTTTTCCGAACTTGACGTCAATGATCCTGATTTCAAAGAAAACAAGTCATCAAAATTTAACCTCGGGGAATGGATGATTCAACTTTCTTGCTTAATTCCAATTCAAATTGCGGTTGCTCGAAACAATGTGTTCCAACCCCTTCAAGATGGTTTAACATCAAATGAAAGCAGTTTATATGATATTGATGATCATGGTTTTCATCTTAATCGTATTGCGCAAAATATTTCCTTCGGATGGTATGAAGGAATCTTTAAGCATTTCGGTGACCGCAAGGTTAAAGTGATTTCTAGCATGGGCGAACAATCGTGTGGAAAATCTTACATGGTAGGATTGTATATAATACTTTCTAAATCATCAGCACATCTTTCTTACCTTTACAATTTTTCGGTAAAAGCTAAATCATCTCGTCGGAACTTCGTTTGATGGATCTGCAATGGTATATATGCACTCACTACTGACATATTGCAATGAATATTTTCGGTTTCATTCTTCTGGTGAAACTTACATCTTTTTTTCGAATCAGAGATGCACTGAAGGTGCCTGGATGTCATTATGTAAGCATTAATTACATACTGTATACATAACAAAACTCGATTATTACCTATATCCCCTTTTAAATTGTTTATTATAGCTGTTACGTCGCAGTACATATACGTGGCCCTAGACTTTGAAGGATTAAAGTCTCTCGAGAGAACACAACAAGAAGGTTAGAAAATATAAAAGTCAGAATAATGCTTATAATATCATGATACTGCATATTAACTAATATCAATTTTCAGATTTATTTCTAACACTATTTAATACTATAACATCGGATATAGTCCTTTTCAAGGTAACATATAATACATATCCATGTATACTTTATATTGTAATATGTAAGTATGCAGCGTTTTTATATGACCTTAAAAAAAATAGAACCAATTTGCTGTTAATCGGGACATGTCGAAGATGTTTCAAAGATTTCAAGATGGTGCCAATCTGTTAAATGACTCAAAGTTATTTAAGGTATTGCGTTACAGTACTGTAATGTAAATCGCAAAAAATGGATACAGTAAAGTTTATGACAGATCTATCTATTCGCATAGGCGAAATTGTGCATCATAATCAAAGACGTTCCAATCCAAGACAAAGGAGGCATTGTTCGTGAATTTTCTTTAAGATTCAATCACATGGTCGATCGGGTACTGTACAGTAATTGCATGATATTTGATTACTGTATATGTTATATTAACAAGTTTATGTACAAAATAAGGAAAAGGAGGGCAATTTCATAACCCGAATGTATCCAAATGGGCTTATGATAATTCCCTACCCAATTTTTAACGAAAAAGGAATGCATTAACCCATGTTTTATGGTTTCATTCACTTTTTTTTATTTATTTCCCTATTAACATTACTTTTGTTTTTCATTTTTAGGGTTTGCATGTTTAAGCTTATCTTTATATCTAAGATCTTTCAATGTCTTGAAATTAATTATTATTATTTTTTTTTTTTCAAAAAAAAAAATCTGGAATATCTCATAGCTGGTATGTATTTTATGTTTGTATTAATGAATCCCTATGCCATAGAAATATTCAAACATTGAAATCTTATTTTGTATACAATAATTTATTATAATTTAATTATTGTAAGGTATACAAAGTTAGAAAGCCTTAAAAACACGTTAGACGAACAAGAAGTAAGATACGATAGTGCGAGAATCTTTTTACAGAACACGAAAACGATTATGGCAAAAATCCGGGCAAGTGAAAATATATTCTATAATAAGAATTGCTGTATTAGGTTGCTGTTATGAGAATATCCATTTAATGAATCGATATTTATTAGGCATGCGATTGGGGTCCATTGGACGATAACTTAATTCAAATTCGCGTATATACATTAAAGAGATTGCTCCAAACGGCCATATCCATTGGTGTCGAAGAAAATAATTCTACAATTGTAAAGTTGATGGTGGGTGTTATGTTATGTTGACGCCAAATCCAGCAAGAAATGAGTGCTCGATTTAAAATTTATTTCATATACAGAATCACGATACAGGAACTACAATTGAGGATCCAGTGGTTACAATGCCTGAAATATTCGAAGATTTTGATAATTCTAAGGAACTTTTTTCCGACGAGAACACATTACTTTTTGAAGAAAACGCTGACTTTGTGTGCTTATCTGCAGATCTAAGAATGTACTTTGAGGAAAACATACAGCAAAGAAAAGATTGCTCCGATGATAATAAATGGTTCGAGGGATTAGGACAATTCTTCAAATACATTGTTTGTCGACGATCCTCGAGAGTTAAAGAATGGTTTGAACAAAACACCTGTAAATTTCAGCAAGATCATAATGACATTCTAATCGGACGTCATGTCATGGAGCAAGAAATTAACAAGATAACCATACTTTGGACATTGTGTGGAATGAACTGCTCCCAATGTGGACTTCGGTGTATAAAAAATCGCGATCATGAAAATGAACACGATTGCTTAACTAATCATAAATGTCACTTCTTATGTCAATTTCTGGAAGCACATCCTAATAAAGGACTCACTCCTCAGTGTAAACACGCGGCTGGACATGATGGGAAACATGCATGTGATAAAGCCGGAGATCATGTATGTGGCAAGCCTTGCAGTTTAAGTAATAAGCGTAATTGTCAAAAAGTCTGCGCAAAAGAAATTGATCACGAGGATGGCAATCATATGTGCCAGTCAAAACGTAAGTAAATACATTAATCTTATATCTTAAAATTTTATCGGATCAAGTATAATACTGTATTACATACTGTATGTCCTATAAATTCTTAGGTCATTACTGCGGTGAACCTTGTTCTTTGTCTACATACACAAAAAAAGGAAATTACCAGTGCCCTAACAAATGTATTGTTGTCTGTGAGGAAGAACATGATCGACATCGTAAGGGAACTAAATTTACTGTATAACACGCACATATAGCATATGTATTATAATGCAATTGTTGTATATTGACAGGTTGTGAAAATGAAACGTGCCCTATTCAATGTCCTATACCAAAGTATGAAACAAAATTTATAAATTAATTTATTCTGTAGTTATTAATGATCTTTTGATTAAAAGAATTTTTTTTCCAAGGTGTCAACGAAGATGCCAGAGCAATGATCATTTTCATGCAAACTTGAAAACACATGATACAATAAACCATTTTTGCGGGTCAGTACTATATATTGAAACGTTACATAATAGATAATTGTATTTCGTCCATAGTCTTTTTATTTTTGATGAAATTTTAGAGAGGAACATCAATGTCAAGAATACTGTGAAGAACCTGGAGTATGTAGAGTTTTGACCGAGCCTCAGAGACGTGAAGAGACATACCAAGGAAAACTCAGAGAAACAATTATTACATTTACTAAAGTAAAGGGCGTTCAAACTTCTTTCATATTTACATAACCTTAATATCCTAATTTTTATAAATTGAATTCATTTATAAGCATATCCAAATCAGTGAAAGATTGATGTGCTGTAAAAGAATTCCTCCTAATAAGTTTAAGCACGAAGGAACGCATTCTCATTCCCAGGATAACAATAGTTTTCATTTTTGTGATACCAAGTGTCAATTTTGCGAATATTATGTGAGCGTTCGTTGATCTGCTGTGCTTCAAACTTATAGCTCATTAATACCTAATTATCATGATGTAGTGTACTTTGCCTTATAGACACCCACAACCATTGCACGAAACAAAACATGGAAATATGATCCAAACAGAATTTACGAGTGAAGTTGATGAATTTGTGTATGCGGGGTACGGATACTGTATACTGTACCAACCATGTGCATATACATAACACTACATATTATAATATTAACATTAATTTCTTAAGTCATAAATTACAAATAGGTGATTGTGGTACATTTGTCTTATGCAGCTTGGTATGTAGATAAGGATTGATTTTTGTCTGACACTCTAACATTATACCGCTGACGGGAATTATATAAAAATAGTACTGTAAAGATAAAGAGATGAGACGTCATCGGCATATCGATTATTGTAAAGATGAAGAGACCTGTAAATTAAATGCCAATCATCCGGACATTCTGCATATTAATGGTATTTATATATTGGATTTTCTCTCGTAAAAAAAAGTTTACTTCTTTATTATTATTATTATTCCTCTAGCTCCAGTAAATCCAAATCCTGATCGGGCAAAAGATTATATCTCACATCGTCTCTTCTGGAAACGTACTGGATTCAAAGGTTATTGGTCTTCGTCATATTACATTGTTAAATAAGAAAAAAAATATATCCTTTCCTTATTACAAAAACTTTATTTTAGATCCTTATTCAATTAAAGAACAACAAGAATTTGCAAAATGTGACCACGAATGTCCTGATGAAATTCATAAAAACTCAAGCGATAATTTCAATGAGCAGTCAGCTAAATCATATTGTGAACTACCTCTTTTCCATCTGAGCAATGATCAATTGCAATCATTACCCAACGACATTGGCTATATTTCATCTGATGGTCATCACTTTCATTGTGAGAATCCAAGTAAAAGGGAGGCCGCATTTCACATCATACTTACATTGGACAGATCCGCTTCTATGTCAGAAAACGACATGCAACCTTTAACAGGCACTCCTTGCTATAAGGAGTTAAAAAAAAATCATAATAATAGGATTGGAGCTGTTTACAGCGCGGTAAGTCGAGTATCTTGTCTGTAATTTTGTATTTTATATAACTAATTTAGTTGCTTTTAAAGGTATATGCGTTCTTCAAGGCTAGGATTGGCAACCAAAGTGGCCAGCTCAAAAGGAAAATTACAAATAAAGACACTATATCATTGGTACTCTTTGACGATGAAGTCATTGTTCCATTCGAAAATAAAATTCTCGTGGACGCTGATGACTTGTTAAATGAGATGATTAAACACAAAGCTCGAGGAGGAACAGACTTTAATCTTGCTATACAAAAGTCGGGATTTTTAATCGATCAATATTATGATACTGACAAGTAATTATATTAATATTTATTTTTAATAGAGATTGTAAATTTGAATTTATTTATCATAATTTTTATTTTAGAGTAAATATCATTATTTTCCTCTCCGACGGTGAAGATTGCGTACCACGTTATCAACTTCGACAAATATGTGAACAGAACAAAAAAAAGGGGTATGTATTATATTATAAATAAAGTTCACCATAATTATGTATTTATGTTAATATCTTTCATGATATAGGAATCCTTTATTTTTGTATACGGTGTTATTTGCCAATCATACGGATAGTTCTTCTTTAAAAGAAATGGCTGAAATTGCGCAGAAACATCATCCGCAAAACACTTCTGCGAGTTCCCTTCGGTGTCAATATTATAAAGTAATGAATGAAGTTAATTTAGTAACAACTTTCATAGGCGTTTCCGAAAGTATCAGAAATCATCAACCATCTTTAGTGAAAAAAAACAATTAGGTACACTTTTATTTGCTTCTTTATTATTTATTTGATCTCCAGATTTTTTTTGTTTACATTTCTAAACTCTGTATCAATATTATTTTTTGTTCGAGGTTTTTTAAATTCCATGTGACTTATATTTTTATTTTAATCATTATGCAGTATACCAATTTTTGATTTTTTTAAACGTATACAGTAGTGATATAAAATGTTTATTGAGTCATAAATATAATAAGACAAATTTTAAAAAAAAATTATACATTCATAAATTTTTTTTCACCGGTAACTCCATTTTATTTGAACATAATAAATAGACGCCTATAATGTTCGATATAAATAAATAAACTTAGTAAAAAGATTTTTGTTCTATTGTAACGGCGAGTCTGTCGCGGCACGTCGCACAGCAACTAAGTAGGCCCGTTTTGCACTATTTGGCTATAGGATTCGTGTCACGCCAACGCTATTTTCTTCTTGTCTTGCAGGCGAAAGAGGCGATTGAATTTGACTGATCTTTGCCCTTAGGTCACATGATCACGGGCGAAACGAAAAATACAGTATATCATTGGGGAAAACATAACTTCACATAGATAAAGTTTATTCGTCGGATGAGCGCACTTTTGTTCACTGATACTAGCACACCAGACTACTTTATTTGACAATAGAAACGAAGTATATTTATCCATATTTTCTATTTATCCTCTTATCCTCTTTATCCTCTTTATCTTAATTATCTCACTTATACCCATCACAATACCCAATACAGCATTGCGTAAGAAATCATTCCTTTTTTTCCTGTAACACTATTATTTGTGATTATTTTTACTTCAAAAAAAAATTTGATATTGTATTTAATATGCTTATAAATCGTTAGAATAATAACAACTCTGTTATTATAAATTAATTATTAATTATATAACATCAAAAGAAATAATAAGTTTGAATAGGAATTAAATAAAATACTGTATGTATACAAATAAAATATAATTTAGATATAATTTATTAATTAAATAGCGCATTGTTTTTTGTTATTTATACATATACAGTATACACATATATTAATAAGAAATTAATTAATCTCAAAATTCTCAAAATCTGTATTATAAATGTATATTATAAATGTAAAAGTAAAATATAAATAATTAAATTAAAATTAAAAATATATTGGTTTGATTGAAAAATTAAGCAAAAACTTATAATACAAACCATATTAAAATATGTGATTTTTATAATATCTTAATATCTTAACAAAATTATTTTTATTTTTTTTTTTTCGGGTGAAAGATGCTTTGTGCATATGCATTTTATTGAGTAATTTATGTCCAATTACAGATACACT